CCCTTGAATAATGTTTTTGATTGTAGGAGCCTGTCCTGGTTAGGGAAACCCACAGCCTCTCCCCCTTCCCCTCCCTGCTTCTGTAAACCCTGGTAGAAGTTTAAACAACCCAGAGAGATTTTTTTTTTTTCCCCTCTTGTTTTCTCACCAGTCTTATTTTACGAAGAGGAAACGAGTGTTTCAAGCAGCAAAAGGAGCTTTCAGCTGCTGGCAAAGGGAAGAAGTGACCTTGAGGAGAGGTGCTGGGGTCCCACGTGGACACCACCCTGGGATAGTCACTCTCTTGGTGTCCCCACCACCCCCTGGGATGGGCCAGTTTCACCCCCACACCCACCAGTGGAGCCACAGGGGGAGAAATGCTCCAACTGTGGGATGAGTTCTGGTTCACCCTGGTGTGGTTTTGTGCTTGGTTTTTGTTCCTGGAGTGAAGGAGAAAGCTCCATACCCCAGTTTTCTGGTTTTCACCAAAAATCCACAGCTCCTGCTGAGCTCAGGTCTGAGTGCTGAAGGGAGGAGAGACCTCCTTGGACTTCAAACCTCTCCTGGTTGCCCTTCAGCTGTCAGCTCTAAGAGTTGAGGTTCTGAGAGTTTTGCTGTTGGGGATGTGGGGCTTTACTTGGATTTGAAGGTGGTTTGAGCTCCCCCCTGCCTGGCAAACCCCTTTATTAAGCTTTTTATCTCCTGTGCATGGAGAGTTGGTCCTCAGAGCAGCTTGCCCCCTCCTCCAGCCATGGCCAGCTCAGCTTTGCCCTCTGGCTGGCTCTGCTCTCAGCTCCCAGTGCCACCTTCCCATAGAGGTGGCAAAAAAAAGAGGGGAAGAAAGTGAAATCCTGTGGCTAAAATATCCTCCTCTGGTGAGCCCCAGGGTGTCCTTCTCCCCTAAATTCTCCTCCTCTGGCTGTAAGGGTTTCACAGGGGTGGTTGTGGCTCCAGACTGGGGAGGGACCAGCCCCTGGGGGCTGCGTGGGGCATCCAGGGGTGCTGGGATTCTGCAGCTCCTGGGCAGGATCCTGCTGGAAACACCTCGTGGAGTCTCCTCAGACAGGTTTTTTTTCTCCTCCATCTGGTCTCTGTCACTCCCAGGGCTGGTGCTGAGGCTGATTAAACACCACAGAGCTCTTTGAAGGTGAAATTTGCTGTGTTCATGTTAAATAGTAGCACGAGGAGCCCCGGGGCTACCTGAACTAACATTCTAAAGGGTATTTTGAATAAATTCTTGGCTTTTTTTCCCCCCAGCTCAGCAGCTTGCCTCAGGCTGTGATTTTTACCTTCGAGCTCAAAGGTGGAAATCGATAAATTTTGATTTTAAAAGCTATTTATCCTTTTTTTTTGGTGTGGATAGGAACCTGGCCATCGGGATTGGGATTCAGAACTTCCCAGAGGGCCTGGCTGTCAGCCTGCCTCTGCGTGGGGCTGGGTTTTCAACGTGGAAAGCCTTCTGGTAAGACCAGCTCCTCTTCACCCATGGAAAGGAGAATCCCCCCCCCAAGCAGCTCCTCACCCCAGCACCTCAATGCTCCCTCCCCCTGCCCATCTACGTGGCTCCATCACCGAGCTGCTCATCCAAAAGCTGCCTCCCCCTCTCCACAGGGTGGATGGAGCTCTTCATCCCCACTGCCTGTTGAGTGCCCAGACCCTGCATTAAACAGAGTGGGGGGTTTTATTTCCTTTTAATTGATTTTTATTTCAGTTTTTCTCTCACTTCCCTCTAGGCTGGATTTCAAACCCGCTTTTGGTTCTTAATTTTCCCCTTTTCCTGAGGTGGACAAACCAAGGGCATGAACTCAGGGAGCTCAGGGGTGTGTTTCCTGCCCATGTGCCCAGCAGGGTGATGGGTGGCAGGGCAGGGAGGGGCTGGGAAATCCCTCCTGCCAGCCCTTGGTTTCTTTTCCTCCCACCCACCTCCAATTCAGTAAGTGCAGCCAGTGCTGGGACTTGCACTGGGATTGCTGCTGCTGGGAAGGGAGTTCTCATGGTCCAGAGAGGTAAAACACTCCTGGAGGGGGAGAAAATGAGGAGGAAGAACAGTGTTTCAGCCTGGTTGAGGCTGTGGCCAGGTGTCCTCCTTGGCATTGAGCTCTGTTGGTTGGAGATGTTTCCTCTCTGCCCTGTCCCTGCCTGTGAGCTGCGTCCTCACATCCCACAGAGCTCTTGGGGGAAGAAATCAGATCATGCCTTAATTCCTTTCCTGGAAAAAGCAGCTAGGTGAGGTCAAATCACCTTTATTAGCTGTTTAAAGTAATCCAGGTGGCTTGGCCTGGCATGGCTGAACTCCAGCAGAGACTCCAAAGATGCTGAGGGGCTGGAGCATCTCTGGGACCAGGACAGGCTGAGAGCCCTGGGGCTGTTCAGCCTGGAGAAGGCTCAGAGGGGATCTGAGCAGTGCTGAGCAAGAGCTAAAGGGCCCCCGGGGGGCAAGAGGCTGGGGCCAGACTCTGGTCAGTGGTGCCCAGTGACAGGACAAGGGGCAACGGGCACCAACTGGAACCCAGGAGGTTCCATCTCAACAGGAGAAGTTTCTTTGGTGTGAGGGTGGCAGAGCCTGGAGCAGCTGCCCAGAGAGGCTGTGGAGTCTCCTCTGGAGAGATCCCAAACCCTCCTGGATGCCACCCTGGGCACCCTGCTGTGGGTGAGCTGCTGGAGCAGAGGGGTTGGAGGAGATGATCTCCAGAGGTCCCTTCCCACCACGCTGGGATGTCCAAGCAGCCAACCTCCTCCCAACCAGGGCAGCATTAGCACCCTGGGGATGGATGGAGGAGCTGCAGAGCCCCGTGGGAGGGCTGTGCCACCCTGGCGGGGGGGTGCCTGGTGGGTTTCAGTGGTGGTCCCTTGCAGGTACGGGCAGCTGAGCGGGATGGTGGAGCCCCTGGCTGGCACCGTGGGCGCCTTCGCCGTGGCCCTGGCAGAACCTCTCCTCCCCTATGCCCTGGGCTTTGCTGCTGGGGCCATGGTCTACGTGGTGATGGACGACATCATCCCCGAGGCACAGACCAGGTGAGACCCCTCCCCAAAAGGCAGAGAGACCCAGGGGGAGGTGTTGAGGACTCTGGGAGGTCCCTTCTCTTCCCGGGTGAGATCCGAAGCGGCGTTTCCCTCATCCGAGAAGCCAACCCTGGCTCCCAGCAGCTCATCCCTCCTTTTCTCTCCTTCCAGTGGCAATGGGAAGCTGGCATCCTGGACCTCAATCCTAGGATTTGTGGTGATGATGTCCCTGGACGTTGGGCTGGGGTAGGGCAGCCCCAGGAGGAGCCTTCAGAGCCAGCAGCGTTCGGAACTGGACACGCGTCACCCTCTGGACTTGTTTTTTTTTGTACAGATGGTTTTTTTTTGGATCTGGTTTGGTGTTGATTTCCTATCATTTTATATCTCTTCCCCTCCTCTCCCCAGACGTCACGTCGATGGTTTTCAAAGCACAAATCCAGGTGGTTCCTCGTGGGTCTTGGTTTCCTTTCACCACCAGATTTTCTTTGCCCCTTTAGGGGGGTCGTTGGGCGACGTGTCGGCCAGGCTGCAGGTCAACCTGTCCTTCCCTCCTTCCCCTGGGCCAGGGTGCTCTGGGTTTCAATCATCTTTGTCCTGGAGAAGGTTTAGAAGCTCCCTGTCCTGTGGTGGGGCTGCTCTGTGGTTAGCAGGAGGGTATCTGAACAGAGTGAGCCCTTGGCAGAGCCTGGACTTCCACCCCCCTCTCGGAGGGCATGAGCTAACAGGGACAGCACTGGGTGGGATCCCAGAGCTCCTGTGTCCTCCAGCTCCTCCAGGGTCGTTCTTTTGATGGATGCAAATAGTCCAGGCAACTAAAAGTGAATTTTTGAGGGATCTCTGTAAGAGAAAAATGTCCTTTTTTTCCTTAAATTTATCTCCCTAGTAAAGCTTTGTCCCCGTGCGTTGTCCGACACCCCGAGGTTTTCTCTGGAAAAACAGACCAGGGAAGAAGAATTTTGGGGTTTCCTAGCATGCAGGGCCAGGTGTGGTCACCCCCCTTGTCGTTGCCAGGAGCTCTCATCCACATCAGGGTGAAATAACTCATCAGGGTGAATTAATTACCCTCCTTAAAGAGCCAGGAACGCTCGTGGTGTGTGCCAGTCCCTTCCCTGCCCATCCCTCCCTGTGCCTGGGGAGCGAGGAGCACCCCGAGGTGGGGAAGATGCTGCAAACCCCCCTCCCTCTTTGCTACAGGCTCTTCTGTCTCCAGGAAGGGCTTCTTTAGAGCCTCCAGCTGGAATAACTGGATCTCCTGGGCTGCTGCCTGCACCCAGCCCCTCCACAGCCATGGGGCTCTGAGGGAGCACTTGGAGGTGAGCTGAGGAGGGGGTCACAGATTGCTGTGGAGCTGCAGAAAGGGTCAGCCCAAGGGAACAGGCTTGAATCAACTAAGCTAGAGCCAGGGGGGTTGGTTTGGTTCTTTATTTTATTATTTTTTTAGGGTTTTTGGTTTTGGTTGGGTTTCATTTGTCCTTCGTTCGTGCGTCGCTGCGGATGAGACGAAACTACTGTTTGCTGATGGATTTGACCTTCTAACTGTGATTGGTTTCAATAAATGGGAAATTCTGAGCTTGCACTGGTTGATTTCAGTGCTGTAAAGCCGTGCCTGTGCTTCTCCTCCCCTCCCTTCTGCTCTTTTTCTTTCCTCCAGCTTCATTGTTCCTGCCTGGGAGCCAGGAAGGCGGCTTGTCCCTGGGGATGGGGAGGGGGCTCTGACCTTCCCTGGGATCTGTGGGGCTGTGGAGGTGAGCTCCAGGCACAGGGGAAGTTTGGGGGTGCCAGGACCCCCTTTTTCAGACCAGTGGGTGAGAGCTCTTGGCCATCCCAGGGTGGGAATGGGCAGGGAGAGGGAAGGGACCTGCCTATGGTCTCCTTCCCAGTGGGAAGGCTGGGTGATAGCCCACCCCTCTTCAACTTGTTTCTAGACACACTGGAACCATTTGTAAAGGTTTTTAGCCCTCTCTTTTCAGCCAAAAGCCTTCTCCTGAAACTTTAAAACCTCAGGGGTGTCCAGGGGCTGGGATTTCTCCCAGAGCACGGGGGATATTTTCTTGTTTGAGTTGTGGCGCGTGGTGGAAGCTGGTACCAAAAAAACACATTATACATTTAAAGGCAGCCTTGTAATCAGATTGCTGCCAGCTAATATCACCTAAAGCATTTAATCCTGCTTAGATGTAGCCAGGCGAGACAATTGATGTACATGGGGAGCTGGAGGAAGCCAGTGGGGAGGAGGGTGATGCAGAAAGCACAGAGGAAAATCCTCCTTTTCTGTTTGTAGCCTGGAGGTGAATGAAATGAGATATCTCTTCCTTAAGTATGATTGAAAAGCTGGCTGGGGGCCAGGCCTGAAATTACCCCTGGAAACAATAGCTGTCAATGAAAAGGTGGAGTTGGGAGCAAAGGCAACAGGAAAACAAAGAGGAGAGGGGATCTGCTCCTTGCCCTTGGCTCTCCTGCAGAGCCCCAGCTGGAGGGAAGGGACCCCCAAAATCGTCCCGTGGTTGGAGCTGGGGTTTGGACACGGGGCTGTGCTTGGCCCCAAACCCATCCCTGGGGTTTGCCCTTCCTGGGGGGGGGCTCTGGCTGCTTTGGGGTCCCTCCCAGTGCAGGCTGAGCCCCCTTGGTGAAGTTCTGTGTCTCTGTGAAATGGGGAGGGACCCCTGGCATGCACTCGTGGTGGGCATGGAGAGAGGGGCTCTCCTCCATCCTTCTGCTGGGGGGTACTTGGCCTTTGGAGGGGTTTGAAACCTCCTTTGAGCCCCTTTACAAGGGAAGTGTTAAATTCTAGCATCAGTGCTGATGATTTCTCCCCTCGTTGGTCGTTTCTCAGTAAATCCTCATCCCTACAAAATCTTCAGAGCTTTGGGTTTTACCTTAAAGAGATAATAACTTAAAACTCTGACTCCCATCCAAACCCCACAACCCTCAAAAGATAAAATGAAAGCTCTTTTTCCAAGCAGCACCTGGAAGTGGTTTTGTGATGGGCTTTAAAAGCAACCCCAAAGCCCAGTGCAAGTCTGGGGCCAGCTCCCTCCTGCCCTGGTGGCTGGAGAGGCTGCTGGTGGCTCAGGTGCCTGGCACCCTCCCTGTGTTTGCCAGGGGATTTAGGGCTCTGGAGGAGGAATTGTTTGGGGCTGTGTGTCGTGCAAAGCTTTGGGCTTCTCCCATCAGGAATGTGGCTGATTCATGCTGCCCGTGGCTGTGGGACAGGGAGAATCAGAGCATGGTTTAGATTGGGAAAGACCTTTTGAGATCACTGAGTCCAACTGTTGCCCCAGCACTGCCAGGGCACAACAAACCCACGTCCCTCACCCCACATCTCCACGGCTTGGGAACCCCTCCAGGGGTGGGGACTCCACCACTGCCCTGGGCAGCCTGGCACAGCCCTGGGCAACCCTCCAGGGCAAGAAATTGTTCCTCAGCTCCAACCTCAACCTCCCCTGGGGCAACTTGAGGCTGTTCCCTCTTGTCTTGTTCCTTGGGAGCAGAGCCCGACCCCCCCTGGCTCCAGGCTCCTGTCAGGAGCTGTGCAGAGCCAGAAGGTCTCCCCTGAGCCTCCTTTGCTCCAGGCTCAGCACCCCCAGCTCCCTCAGCTGCTCCTCCACACACTTCGCCTCTAGACCCTTCCCCAGCAG